GGGTTTTTTGGTATTACAAACCAAAACTGCTTGATTTTCTATAGTGTTTATCACTGATGACAGATTCCGTAAACGTGTTCCTTGCTCTACACGAAATTAGTAAAATATCCTGACCTAAGTGACTGAGCAATTTGAATGATATGTGCTGCTTCCATTAAGGCTGGTTTTAGAGATTTCGCATTACTTTGAGTAATATAGCAGATAAGTCTCCTCTCAGATAATACAAAGCTAGGATAGAATAAATACTTGATCAGGGCTTTTAGGTATTAAGTTTGGCTGCTTTGCTTTGCTATAATCCTCTCACAACTAATGGTTAAACATATTTTGGAGAGGAATCTGGCACTTCTAGTTAAGTTGTTGAGACTTCCCAAATTAGCCTGATCCAAACTCTGGTGTGATTTCATATTGCAAGTCTGCTCAATTTAACTGCATTAAAATATTATTTTTTAGAGACATGGTAAGTGAGTAGGTACAGAGACTGTTTCTTGCTTTACAGCAGAATAGCAGATGTTAGCACATAAGAATGAAAGAATGAAAGGCTGCTATTGACCTTCAGGTTCTGAGCTAATGATATAAATAAGGTATTTTATTCCTCACGAGTGGACCTACTGTCAGAACTTGGCTGTTATTTCTATCTGTGTGCTGTTCGGTGCCATTTAACTTTTTAAATCAAATTCCATTTACTTTATTTGCTTCTATTTAGCTACAGACCCCTTCACAACTCTGTTTGGAAATGAATCCTTTGGAAGCAGCTTTGCTGACTTCAGCATGTTGTCCAAGGTAATGTGAAACTACTGCCACTCATGCGAAATGCCTAAAACCTCACAGTGACAGGACATTAACAGTCCAGCCTGTTCCCTTTTCCAACAGTTTTATTGTTACATCTTTGGCACTTTCGTTTTTATGATTACTGAGTTTCTTGGTGAGGACCTTTTATAATAAAATGCTATGCAATTACACTTTGAATAATGCACTCTTGTGTCTTTATTAAATATATTCTTCTGTATTAAAATATTTTTAGTATTTGCTAGGTGTATTGGCAAAGTATCACTTTCTTGCATAACTGAACTCAACTTTTTATTGCTTTTTAACACTGCTGCTTTCTGTGTTGAAGGCCAACAGTGAAGATCCCTTTAGTTCTTCTACATCAGGTTCTGTCAACAATATGAACGTAACAAAAAACTTATTTGAGGAATCGCCAGACAAAAATGAGGATGTTCCTCCTGCATTGCCACCTAAAACAGGCACTCCCACAAGGCCGTGTCCACCGCCGCCTGGTAAGAACTGATGCTGAGAGGACATTAAGAATTATCTTTAATATTGGCAACTGGGCAATAATTATGAGTATAGCATGGCTGCAAACTGAAATGGCTACTAACGCAGTACATTATCAGTCTTACAGTAAGTTATGCTTAAAGTGAGAATTCTGTGTTTGCTTCCTTGCAAAGTTTCTGTTCCTCAATGTTCCTTCTATCTCTGAAGACATATGTAAAAACCTAAATAGTTTTAATGACTGGAGAAAAATGAATTAAATTCTGTTAAGATGCCTGTCTCAGATTTTTCAATTACCTTTTTCCAGGTGGCCTTGCCAGAGGCCCATAGTAGTAAACCTTGCCCAAAATAGTAATAAAGCCCCCATTCCCTCTACTCTTTGTTGTTGTTGTTGTTTGTTTGAATGATGGCTGAATCCTCTGGTCTGCTCGCTGACATGGAGAGCTGCTTTCCAGAGAAGGCCATGATAGCAAACGCACACATATTCTAGGGATTGCAACAAGTCTATGTAGTTAGCTTCTTATTTTCAAACATTTATTAGTTGATTTGAAAATGTATTACTAATACTGCCTTTTAAGTTTCTGTCCTTCACTTCATTTTCTTAGAAACTCTACTGCATCAGTTTCTACTATAATATTATATGGAAGAATCTTGAGATTTTTTTTTGAAAGCAGCATAAAAACTTAAGATTATCTATTCATATCTTTATCTATTATGTTCTCCACATTTTTGGTGAAGATTTAAACACAGCTACTTCATGTCAAATACCGACTTGTGGAAATTCGGCTCTTATTTGTGCCTTGCAAACAATCAGTTAATGCTTTGGCAGTTGGCATTTAAAGTGGCTGACATGGAAAGTGATAAGTTGGTGGTTTAAGTTGTTTGTTTGTTTGTTTTAATAGAGGTCCTAAAATTTGAAATTTCTAACTTCATGATAATTTCTAACTTCATGATACGGAGGTAGCAATGAGGTAGTGTAGAGATTTCCTTTTTGAATGTAAACTTCTAGTGGCAGAACAGCATCTTAACCGATAGATGACTAGAAAAGAAATAGTCTGTTTATTTGCATACCTTAAAATGATACTGTGGTAATGTTGCTAATGACTGTGAATATAAGGATGTCACATGGATTTTAATGATTGTTTATATGATGCAGTGTTGAAAGCACTTTTTATAAATTTTATGTAACTATATATACAGTTAGTGGACTATTTTGAAAACTAAAATGTTAAATTGTTTTCATAAGGGAAATCAAAAAATGATATTTAGATGTATTTGTTTTTAATGACTCTTTTGGTCTGGCTCAAAACTAGTAAATGCTTTTTCAAATAAATGATCTGAAATCCTGCTAAGAGTCCTCACTGTGCTGGAAAGTGTGCAGAAGGGTGGGTAACTTGCTTCCTCTGATCCGCATTGCCTTTCCAGACAGCAATAAGCACCACTCGCCCCCAATCTGGGGGGAGGAAAGGGCCCTTCGCAGATTGAATACCTCAGATTCCTACAGTTATTAATCCTTCTCCTGCAGAAATAAACTTCCCTGAATGTCATTGGAAGCTGCTGCTCCTGCATTATTGAAGCAAGTGGAAGGCATGAGTTATTAGTCAGTAATAGCACATTGCCCATGCGGGAGGGCTGTCCTGGGAAAATTATCTGGGAAGCGTCTAACTAAATTATATGTTCCCTGAGGGTGTTCCTAGAAGTCTCTTAATCATAGCTGCATTAGAATCCCTTTGGCTTTATGGAAGATTTTCTTTCTTCCCGTACCCAGGGACAGTGATATCCAAAATAATAAGCAGATAGTGGTTCAGTTCTCCAGGTTTAATCTAAAATGACAACAGAAGCTAGTTTTAAAATGTGACCATTGTAAGTACCAAACCACCTATGAAACACACAAAATCCTCTACCCAAATTCAATAAAATGAATTTAAACCTTTTTATTCTAAGTAATAACATATGGAGAGAATGGTGGGTTGAAATTCAGCTCAACTATTTTTGGAAGGATTGAGTTAGAGTCCTTAAAGGTGTTGAAAGCTGAAGTGCTGTAGAAATGATAAAAAAAGTGGTGGAGGGAGAAAAAAAAAAAAAAAAAAAAGAACAAGATGGGTGGGGGCCTGTGTCTGATTCTGTGTTATCTGCAACTATTTAGGCAATGATGAAGAAAATAACTGAGTTTGCAATTGCTTGTTACCATGCCTTTTTTTTTTTTTTTTTTTTTCCTTTTTCTTGTTTCCTCCCTTAAAAACTAGAGAAGTTGCAGGCGTTAGCAGTCAGAGGAGGTTTTTGCTGGTCTTTTGAAATCTGGAAATGCCTCTTTTTCACTGACTCAAATTTTGCTACTTTGATCCAAATAAATATAAAACTTCAGGGGAGTTATCGTGCAAAATCGATAAGCATAAGAAAAATTATTGTGCTGATAGAACAAGTGCTCACAATTTCCAGATATTCTCTTCCCAAATATGTTATATCAGCACATGAACATATGTGTCTTCCTTTTTATATGACTATACTTCAAGAAACTAGGGACCGTACCTTCCTTCTTAAATTAGCAACCCCTCCTCTGAAATCAGTGCAACTCCACTGGTTTACCAGAAAAGGATGTATTCCAAGTAGCATGTCTTTTTTTTTTTCTTTTTCTTTTTTTTTTTTCCTATTTTTGGCATGTTATTACTTGCTATCTTAAATTCATTTTAAATTATTTTAATCTAAGGGAAAAGACCTATCAATCAAATAGACTCTTCAGATTCCTTTAAATCGACCGATCCATTTCAGCCTTTCCCCACCCCAGACATTCCCAAAGAACAAGAAGCAGATCTATTCTGTGATCCATTTGCTCCCACCAGCATCAGTAAAGAGGCTGACCCCACCAATTTTGCAAACTTCAGTACTGTGAGTAAACATTTCTTACATTTGTTTCAGTATAACGACAGCTTTGAATTGTTCACACTGAAGTATTCGGTTTTAATTAACTATATTAAAATATATCCCATATATAAAAGGGATAGAACTTCCAATTAAAATAATATTTACATTTAGTTTGCAGCTGAGGCTGTCCTAAAATTAAAGACTGCAAAATGTTTCAGTTACTGTTTAAGTTGCATTGCTTTTTTGATTTTGTTTTTTTGTTTATGGAGGCTTCCTAGCTTCTAGAAAATAGTTCTCTTTTTAAATATCTTACGTTCTTGGGATTATCCATTTTATTGGAATACGCAATTCAATTGCAGCAGATATAAATTATTTACCTACAGAACACACTGCTAATCATCCAATTAAAATGGAACGTGTGATTTTTAATTTAGCTGTCACTGAACTGTTTGATGATAATTTCAGTGTACTGAAATGTTCAAAAACAGCCTCGTAACCATTTAGTCTAATGAAATATTGACCGGGGTTTGAATGGCTAGTAAATTCCAGACTTGAGTGTGATACAGAAGGTAGCAAGTGTCTCTTTATAACCAGAATCCATTTCATAGAAGTCGTGGTGTCCAAGCGATACAAGCAAATCGGAAGGTTTGTGCATGCCTATATGTTCTTCCTTTTGTGTTTTTGCAAGTAAGAGTTTTGGAAGGCATTTCACTTTCAAGCTTGGTATTTGGAAAATGCAGTTTGTATTTACAGTAGCTTTGCTCAGGTGCCTTTTTTTTTTTTTTGTCTTAATAAACTTTGTGCTTGATTGAAGGGAACTGAGGATTGTCAGGCCCTCAACACTGATTTTCACTGGTTGATGTGTGTTGCTGCATGACACTTCTTGAAATGCTCTTATTGATCCATTTTACTAGACAGAGGGACAAAGAAGGCCTGTACGGAGCTCTCAAGAGAATGTGAAATACAGGGGAGAGAGCAAAACTGTTTGTTATTCTCTATGAGGGGGAAAAAGTATTTTTCTCTAGCTTTAGTTACTGAGGATACTCAATGAGCTGGGGGGGAGGCGAGGGAAGAGGGCAATCCAATTTCTCTACTTTATTCTGTAAAGTTTGCTCAAAGGCGACACTAGCTGGACAGTGTTATGATAACCATTTCAGACTTCATACTGGGACGTTCATGAAAACATAGGTGTCACCTACGTGTTTGCATGCTGAATAAAAACAAAATTTTGCATAGGTTTTCTTATGACTTCCCAACTCTCTTGCTTATAATCATTATAACAAGCAACTCAATTCACTGTGTGCATGTGTGTGTGTAAAAGCATGCACAGGGAAAATACCTATTCTTTCTGTTTTTCTCTTATGTCACATTGACTTTTCTCTGTTACTTCTGAGTTTCTATCTGCACAGTTACTTGTTATTATACTGCTTCTTGACAGACAGAAGCATTTTTCAGTTTTTTGATTAAACAGACATATTCTACAACTAATTTTTGCAGTCAGTGTCACTTGGAAAAAATCTTCCATAATGAAAGCAGAGTGAATCAGGATGTGCCACAGAGCCAGATGTGGGTGTGCTCTGCAACATATTCTCCTGATTTAGTTACATTTTCTTCTCATATAAACTCTTCTTTAACCCAAAATAGTTTTAAATCCTAACACTTCAGTAAATTTTTTGGAAACTTAATACTGAATTTTGGAACATAGTGTATTTCATAATTAACAATGATAAGGATGGCTTAAGTGCCATAGTTAAGCAAATCATTTAATAGCCCCTTGAGCTTAATAGGCCAACTGAACCAAGACAGTGTGTCCAGTGTTCTGAAGAACTGTTATTGTCCCTGAAAGACGTGGGCAGGAGTAGTTGTCACTATTATTAATCTGATGGTTTTGTCTTTTAAAAATACAGTATTCTACTGAGGAAGACATGATTGAATGGGCTAAGAGGGAAAGTGAGAGAGAAGAGAAAGAAAGACTTGCAAGATTAAAGCAGCAAGAGCAAGAAGACTTGGAACTGGCTATTGCACTCAGTAAATCTGAAATATCAGAAGCATGAAGTTTAGAATAAGATTGCGTCTTATGTCAACTGTTTTGTCCCTTTATTTATCTATTTAAATGTTAATCAGAAGTTACATATATACAGGATGCAAGAAAATATGAAAGGTTTTAAGCTTCTGCAAGAGGTTGAACACTTTTTTCCATGCTGACTTGTATTTTTTTAAAATTTCATTAACTTTATCAAACAACTAGTATCATACTGCTCTAGTATGTATACTTTTGAGCTTCTTGCCTGTGCTATTTTTATGCTGCAAACAAAGTACACCAAAGTATCTGTTTCACAGAGTGTCTGCAGATCATCTTTAGGATCACTGATTGTCATTCTAATCATGCATGAAAAGATTTTTGTGAGCATTTGTAACCGCAAATCCTGAAATTCAAAGATGAGAAAACATTGTCCCAATCAAGTTCCTTCAGAAAGAATGCTAGTGAAAGTAGCACAGTATGGAAGATGAAAACTCCATAGCCATGCTTTTGTATTTGGATTGCTCTTTTATGGCTTTGTTTCCTTTAGGTCCATTTGGCAGATTTTTAGTTAGAAGAAACCATGTTAACTGAGAACACCTCTGTTTGGTTTTTGAACTGTCTAATAAGAATGCTAGATAGCTTTTTCTTATCGAATATGTTCTAAAATGTGTGAATGTTTCTGCTAAATTCAATTCTCTGCTTATTGTTTGAATAACTGCTTATTTTAGTATTTAAATTCTTACGTTTTCAGAAAAATCAAGTACACTTCCCACCTGTAAGTCAGTTTGAAATGCAGGTAGTGAGATAGTTGTTTGACTATAATTGGTCAGGAGCTGTTAATTGAGCAACAAGTGACAAATAGCAATTTTTCTGCCATGGCTGACACTCCCATTAAGCAGTTAGTTATTTAAAACCTCTTTTACTTCTAAGGAGATTTTAGTAATGCTAGAGTTGCAGAGTGCTTTATTTTATATGTATGCATATATTTTTTTCTCATTAATGAAGGTTCTACTGTTGGACTTGAAATAATAATCTTTGTGGTGTCTAAAGACTGTATCTTACTGAAACCTTCTTCTTGCTTTTCTTGCATGGTTTTAGGTTTTAAGACAGTCAGATACTCTGTTTTATAAAGCAACTAGATTGAAGATTCATGTGCATTTGCTGTTGGCAAGATGACTGTCAAATTACAAGGCCCCACTGCTATTTGAGCCACTTTTGCCTGTGAAATATGCAGCTGAACTGGCAAATTAGTAAGTTGAATCTGAAATATGATTAAGAATAGAAAGAATACATGTAGTCTATTTTTTTTTTACAACAGTTTTTTTCTGTTTATGTAATTTATTGAATGCCAATTGATAGTTGCACCTTAAAAACTGAATGATGATTTCTTTATGGTCACTGAGTCAAAATAAGATTGATTGAATGTTAATGAAAATAACTTAATGAAAGTAACTTATTATTCATTTTACGAGAACTCCAGTCTGGAGAATCAGTTTCATGAGAGCAGCTCTGAAAAGGATCATCTTTTGCCCTATTTAAGAACATTGTATGGCAGCAGCATAAACCTTGAAGATCTCTCTTTTTTTTTTTTTTTTCCCCCTTGCACTTTTAACTTGTGAAATTTCTGCTGAGGAAACAGAAAAGTTTCAAGACCCAAATCTATGGGGGTGAAGAGTAGGGAAGTACTGGGCCTTGCTTTCATGTACTTAATCTCATCCAGTTACCTACCAATGCTGCTGCTGCTGCAAGTCTTGAGTAGTTCTCAGTTTTTCAGGAAAATGGGCAACTTGACTTGGACAGTTTTCTTTTGCACTGGGAAATGAGCATTTAAACACCTGCTCTAAAAAAGTAACAAAACTTTTGCAAGTATTATAACTTATCTCTACATCTTTGTAATGAGTGTACACTAATCTTGCAAATTGTATGCTTAACTGGATTACATAGTTTCTTATCTTTTGTTAAAAATGTATACTCAGTGGACCAACACAATATTATATGTATATATTATATATATATTCTTTCCTTTCCTTTATGGAATTTAAAGTTTTGAGTCGTTTGATGTTACATTTCATGTTACTGACTCTGACTATAATACTTCTACTCAGACTACCAATAAACCACTGCTGTGAGCTAAATGGCATTACTTATGAAGTTTTAACTGTTTTTTTTAACTTGTTCAGGTGGGGTTAGCCTCTATTTATAGACTTCCCTTTTGTTTAAAAATTCTAACAATAGCCTGTAATTATGAAGAAATAAAGTTTAAGTACATAAGTATAAACAGTCTGCGTGCTTTTTTCAAAATGATGCTGAGAGTTGAAAAATATCTGGAAAATTTATCATAAAAGTAAATAGTTCCAACTGCAGTGTCGGAGCATGTTTATTTTCAGAGAAACAGAAGCTGCTTGAAGCTTGAGTTTAATTTTTTTTGCTAAAGTGCATTTGAAGCTAGCGACACCTGGGATTTAATGAGGTAACATCTCCAAAGAAAAATTAGGCAGCTTTTGCCTAAGTATCCTTGCCTATGCAAAGGTTGCAGAACCCAAGTGTTTAAATGCTTAGGATTTATCTGTGAAGATAAGTATGAGCATCCCCTAGTGGCTGCCATCAAAAAACAGAGGGCTTGATGGATCTTTAGTCTGGTGCGGGGATAGAGTTCTTTCAAATATGCTTGTCACTATAATAACCAGAGCTCATTTATAGCTGGCCTTAAACTGCTCCATCAGAGGTTTAGGAGTTGAGCAATTTTAAGCACCTGTCTCTGACCCTTTTGTTCCAGTAGTGTTCGGTTTTCTTGCATTCATCTAAATAAACCCAAATCCTTTTGCCAGTCATCATTTGAGACATCATTTGAATTAGGCATTGCATATCTTAATTTTATCAGCTTCATGCCTGTTCTTGAGGCAATTCAAAACTCCCTGTGCTGGCCCTGTTTTCCTGTTTCACCTCCACTCATTTAGGTCTCCCCTGCCAAGTTTCCATCTTGGGTGCACTTTACTTCTGATTGTGCTACTTTCAGCCCCATCTCAACTCCGTGAATATTGATGAATTTAACTCTTTTGTTGATCAGAGTGAATGGAATATTTGCTCTTCAGATGCATTCATTTATTATTGTAAGATTGAAGACTATTTGCCTTGTGCTGTAGAGCACAACACTGTCAAATCAAAACTAGATCATCAATAGTTACTAATGAAAATAGATGGTAATCTTCCTGCAAAGATGATCCCACTTATGCAAGTTTGAAACACATTCTTTTAGTAACTGAAGTGGAGCTTTAGTTCCTGGCTTGGGTATGATTGAACCTGTGTGTTACCTCTCTGGTGGTGGCAAGATGTGTTAGTGATGCTGACAGCGAGTCTGGCCTGTCAGTTGTATCCCAGGAAAGAACAAGCAGGAACTTTTAACTTGTCAAATAACAGGCCATCAAGTGTAGGTCAATAGGTCCTGAAACAGCAGATACTTTCACCCAAAATCTTATTTGCATATGTTTGCTTATTTAAATAACATCTGCATTGCCATTTCTTGCTCAGAATGTCAGAATTCCTGTTGTGCTATAACTAAGAGAACTGTTAGGAGCTTAGATTTTAATCTGATAAAAGAATACCTCAAAAAGAGAGTGATGCATGCATTTAAACCATTATCTTTTAAAGAAAGTGATGGGGTAGTTAAAGAGTAAAATACTACATCATTTGGATGTCTATTTAAGACTGCAGGATGTTGTTTCTATGCATCTCTTGCTGATTTATTAAATGACTGCGGAAAGTTGCTTTTATTATATATTCTTTTCCTATATTGAAAATAAGTCTCTGATAGCCTATTATTAAACTTAATTTCAAAAGACCACACTGTGTGCAAAAAAAATTTTTTTTAGTATTTTGTTACCATATAATATAGGCAGGATGTTATAATGTATTTTCTCTTCTCTGTTAGTATATGCATCCAGTTGCAGCCTAAGACTATACAAGTAACCTGAAGTAGATTAGGTAGAATCTGACAGAAGTGCTGCTTTGAACAAAATATACTTGCCTGAGGAATGACTTTACTGATAACACTAAGCACATTTCTTTCCTTTGGAGGTCTGTGTCCCAGGTGCCATTGGCATGACCAGCAAGACCTCCATGTAACACTGTTGGCAGATTGTCGACTTTCTCATTTTTGTGCTTGCCCTCCCCTCCCCAAAATTGTCCCAATTATTAAAGGGATTCATCCTGACCTGCTTCTTCAAACTAATTTTCCTGTGTGGATTGGCAGAATTGATTTTCAGTCTGCTGAGACTCTATAGTGTTCAACTTTATGTGCATCTTCTGTAATTAAGAATATATATTGAAAGCAAAAGGTCTTTAGGCTTGCTTTCCACAGAATATGGTCTTTCTTCAGATATTACATGAACTAAGTGTGAAGTCATTTACATGGAGAAGGTAATTTTGAAAGGCTCGAAGGATTTTTAGGTAAAATCCCTTGTCTGCATTATCTGGAAGTCTATTAATGCCTCATTATTCTCAAATACTCTTCTGAAAGTGAAGGAATCAAAGTAAATGGAGTAAAATGAGCTAGACTTCATTCTTTTACATCATAAACAATTATAGAATCTCTTTATACTATATGTTTATACAGTATGCTCAGTAGAGTAACTTATTTGGACTGCAGTTAGTTGTTTTTCATTAGTATCAGCTATAGAAGATAAGACAGCTTGGTCTTATTTTAGTGTTTCCAACTTCATTCCAACAACAAAATTGCTAAGAATTTTGAGAAGTAATTTATAGTATAGGCTGAGGTAGTTATTAATAGAAGCTCTATGTTAAATGCCACTGGTTACTGAAAATTGGCTTCATTTAACATACAGAATTGCATGGGAATATACTCTTCAGGACATGAAAGCTGTTTTCTGGTCTCAGATTAAGCTAGAATGCATGAGTTTCATGATTAAGAAATCTATATGTAACATGTATTTTATGCTGAAAAATGTGGTTCATTGTTGCATCTGTAAAAAAGAAGGAGCTTGTCACCACTCCTTACGACACCTCTCACTTATCTAAACTATTTATCTAAAAGCCCCGTGATTTTTTTTTCCCCTTGTGTTCAGATTACTCTATCATGCTCAAATTGACCAAATGCCTTTTACAAAACAGCCGCAGTGGTGGAGGTGAGGTGGGGCTGCTGCTTTCCTTGCATCCTTCACACCACTAACTGCATTGTTGGTGTTCAGCTAATAAATTCTCCAGCTTTTTTTTTCTTATTTAGCCTCGTGCACCCACTGTTCTCATTAACGTGGCCATTGTTTCAGAGCACCAGGCCGGGCCTTCTGTTTGTCCTGCCGCTCCCTCTTCTGCGCATACCCTGGCCTTCTTTCCCTCTGTTCATTTCCTTCTGCAAACACGTGTTTTGCTGAATAATCTCAGGACTGTTATCCCTGTATGTCAGAAAACAGGTGATTGATAACTTAAGCATTTAATGGTTGCATTAAATTTAAACAGCTTGTTTTCAGTGTTGTGCAGTGTGTTTTATTTTGGACTGGTTTAGCAGTTTTGGCTCTGTGCTTGAAATTAATTTCTTCATAAGCTGAAGTTGGTAAATTTGAAATAAGTATGTACTGTTGGGTGTTGCTCTTTTGCGTAATTCACTGACAATTGCGTTTTGGAGTAAATGGCTCCACCTATGCAAACACTTTCACTGGAGCAGACTAATACAGATTGCAGATTAATCTAAAAGCCAGGTAAATACAAATTATATTTGGCTCCAGTAGCTTCTCGACACTAACTAATGGCTGGAATTACAGCACAAATGGAATCAATAATGCAAAAAATACAAATTTAGACCTCCGTTTTAATGACTCTCTCCACTAAATGCACGATTTCTTATCAGTTTGTGTCTGGTTACTTCCTGATTACTCCAGGCTAATCCTGAATTAGGATGCTTGTAAAGTGTCTATGGTGCAGCTTCTCTGGTATCAAATAACCTCTCAGTTCACCTGCAGATTTCCCTTTTCAGGATTTTCCATTGGAACAGATGATCTTGATTACTTTAGAGATTTTTACTCCCCTCTAAATAAAAATAAAAGTAGCATCACAGCAGCCTGGGTGTTAAAATTGCTGGGACGGTAGAAAGTGATGGGGTGGCTTTTCTCCTTAGGAAATCAGGGTAGAAATGCGACTTTGGAGTGTAATTCTAATAACTAGCACTAGAGGATCCAAACCATCAAATAAGCACAGTGGCACTTCACCTTTAGGCCCCCGTTGAAAAAAATAAGGAATTTTGTTTGTCAGCATCCGCTGCTCTTAACAAATCTCTGCAAAAAACAACTTTCCTAAACTCCTGTATTCAAAAACTATTCCAGCCAAAGGAAATTTGGGGTCTGGGTCCAAACTTCACAGAAGGTCTGTTGCTTAATTTCAAACTTGCTGCCAATTTTTGAAATTTCTTTAGGCGCCCTGACAGGAGTGAGGGTCTCTCCCCTCAGCAGCTGCTGCAGCCATGGCGGGGTGGGGAGGGAGGGCGGCCATCTTGTGGCCCTGCCCGCAGTGACATGGCTGCCGCCTCCCACACGCAGCGGGTTGCTGGGGGCTGCG